AGCTCGGCAAAGAAAGTGGACTCCTAGCATTGTTGACACTTGTGTTTTATGCAATAATGAGCCAGAGACAAGTGAGCACTTGTTCTTTAAATGCAACTACACACAGAAGATCTGGAAAACCCTTAGTGCTATGGCAAGCATTCCCCTAACTAATTCATGGCAGGGTCTATTGCATTGGATGGGGAAAAAGGTCAGTAGAAAGTCCTTGCAGAATACTCTTGTTAAGTTAGCATGGAATGCAGCAGTGTACCACACATGGAGGGAAAGGAACAGGAGGATCCATCAAAAACATTTTAAAGCTGAAGATGAGATTGTCTACGAAGTTCAGTTTGATGTAAGGTGCAAAATCTTGGGATTTGCTCAACCAAAGTCTTCTCCCTTGCCTATGAATATTGCTAAGCAATGGGGCCTGGAAGATGTCGTGAAGGAATAGATTGGTGTAGTTTTGTTAGTTTGTTTTGAGAGAATGTATTCTTGGTAGCAGCTAATTTGCTGCTTAATTGTATAATTAGTTTATGGATAATAAATTTCACATTTTATCCAAAAAAAAAAAAAAAACAACTTAGTCCAAGAATCTGGCATTGTGCAATCTTTCAAGATCCATATCTGGCAAAATGGATCATCAATAAAGGTTTTCATTGACACACACAGGCACCCTTTAAAAACTCCCAGCCGGATGTAATGTTCTAACATTTTTGTCAATGAGAAAATATAACTCTTCTCTCATATAACTTTGAAGATAGTCAGGTAATAAAATTTCGCCAAATTCTTTAGCCACAAGATCGAAAGTAAGGATGTAAGCCGCGACTGATTTGTCCCATGCCAGCCAATGAAGGGCACCACATGCAAACAGTCCATTTGACAATGGCATCGTTTCCCTTAGGGAGGAGAGTAGATTAGGAGATACTTTTCTCTGGCCAACTCTTTGTACCGCTTCACTCCACGCATTATTTCTCAGACTGCATATTCTTGTTTCAGCATAGGAAACATCTTCACGGTCACCGCACAAGGAGAACATAACAACCTTGTAGTCATCACTGATCGAATCATATATACCCAAATCCATATGACATGGAGACTTTGTTGATGAGTACGGGATTGAGGTGATGTGGTAATCTTTAAGTGTCATGTTTGCGAGGATAACATATTGATGTAAAATCAACAAACAAATCAATCCGTTGCATGAACCAAGTATGTAGATGTTGTCGTACTCTAGAGGGGAATCAACCCAATTAAGATTATGAAGTGAATTAATACCAGCCAAACAGAAATCTGATCTCATCTGGTTGCCCATCACGAGGTCTCCATGCGTAACAACACTAACAAGAACGGCATCAGAGGCGGTTTTGGTGGATTCTTGAAGATGAGAGCGGATGAACCATGGATCTTGAATGAGGGAGTGAAATGATTTTGATTGGCTCTGGAATAGTACTAGACTCTTGACTGGTAAAAAAACATAGTATTTTGCTGGTGATTAACTCGTGTGCTAGGTGATCTTTTGCCATGGGTTGAGATGCTTTGCTCTCTTTATTGAACGAGATGTGAGATATATATATATATATATATGCAAGCTCTGATGATTCATTATTTTTAATCCTATTGAAAAATGGTTAGTACTTTCCTATTTTCTATTGGACAAAAAATGGCTACGGGCCCTTTTTTTTTTTCCCAAAAAACTGCGGGCTTGAAAAATTAATTCAAGGAGAGCCAAAAAAACAGAAAAAAAAATCCTAATTATGTGATTAAATAAATACTTAAATATTGAAATATTTATTTTAATTAAA